ATTGACTATGTGTCATATCCTTAAAAGGTTACAGACAGACAAATGTGATACTCAAGTAGAAAGAACAGCAACACAGGCGTAGATGAAAGAAAGAGAGGTTTATTGTAAAAGAGAATACACTACTGAAAGACAGGAAATTGGTTAACAAGCTAGTAATTCCCAAAGTAAGCCCCAGGTATAGCCTGTGTTCACTATATATAGCCACTGATATAGTCAGTCCAGAATAGGTAATTGGGAGAGTGGGACATTCCATTACAACAGGCACTTTCTGCATTTATCTTCTTTACAAGATAATTTTTTTCTTGGCAAAATAGCCAAATAATTTATGTTTTTATAAGCTTTTGTTTTATAAGATTCCAAACACATGACATGGTGGGTGATGATGGCCTAGGCAATTGGCCAAATTGCCAGTACCTTGATCTGGCTGTGTGTCAACCTGTGTTGGGTTATTTTATGTTGAAATTTGCATGAGGCACCTTAAACTTGTAGAAGCTCTGCATGTCTCTACAGGTTTGTGATGAAATATGGTTGAGGTTAGTTACGATTGGAGAATTTGAATTTGGTGTTTTCAGGAATAAATTTCAACATATGGAGATATTTTTATGTAACTAATAACATGGTCCAGAAAAGAGAAAAAAATATACTAGTAAGTATATACTAATGAAAATTGTAAGAAAAAAAACTTTTAGGATAAGTGTTAGTGTATATATATATATATATATATATATATATATATATACACACAGATGTGCCATGTGGTTGGGTGAATAAATCCCCCTAGAAGGGAAATACAAGTCTCATTTTTGTTCTTGATTTCCTTTAAAACTTTTTTATTCTTTACATGTTCCATGGTATTCTTATTATCCTTCTGTAGAACCACATCTCTTTTGCCAGAAATCTCCTCTTCCTCTGTAAAAAAAAAATAAAAAAAATTGGCCAACGTTCATTGCCATAGATGAGGACTGTTATTACATAGGAGTTTCGCAAACCTTTCTTTATTTCTAAGGAAAATTTTATTGTTGATATTTTGCTTAGCTTTAGAAAGGCATCTTTCACTGTTGCAAGCAATTTGGGATTTTGGTGTCACATTTTCTGTCATCTGTTAAAATATTTTCTAGATTTTCTTTTTAATCATTTTGTCCTAAGCAAGGCGGTAAAAACCACTAAGATGCAAGGTGTCACTGAGAAGGAAAGAATAAGAAGGCCATGAAAGAACAAAATTCTTGGCGACAAAAATTTACAATTGATGTTGGCTTTTAAATTTTTGAAGATCAAAGTGACGAGTGTTCCATAAGCAATAAGTATGGAAGAAAAAAATTATTAGCAGAGAAATTATAGTTGCAACTAGCAATTTCAACAGTGAAATTGTTGGACCTAACTGCATATCTAGTACTGCACTCAAATTCATAAAGTCAAAGTACTAAAGAGGAAATCTCATTGGAACATTTACCATGAAAATATTTATAGAAAAGACATTACAGCAGTGGGAAAGCAGCTGAAGTCAAGATGCCATGTCAGGACTGATAAACACAACATATACTTCTTTGGATTCCATCAAGTATCTCTAGATATATAAAAGCACTAGACCAGATGTAGCAGCAATATCTGATGCATGAATGAATAAATATGGAAAATGGATGCTGACAGAAAACCAAGCAGTTAATTCAATATCATCATTCCACTTCATACCAATGAATAGCTTTTCAGGAGGTTAGAAGCAGCCATTTTTATGGGAGATAAAAATGTTCTCTAAGAGGATAAAGAGAGAGCAGTTTTGTTAAATAACTATTTGCTTGATTCTGATGACTCCATTTCATAGCTCACATCATGTCCTTTTTGCTAACAACCATACATTCTGTCTTCTTACAACTGATGATTTGTCCTTTTTTCTTGCTTTCTTATACTTCCTTGTCTTAGAGTTATTGCAGTTTTCATTCCTTGTCTGCCATTAACATGGCATCATCTAAGTATCTTCTGTTAAGATTGTATCCACTAACTATCAGTATAACCTGTCTTTGACCGGGTGTTTCATTACTGGGAATTTTTGCCGTTCATTTGGAGCAGTTTAAGTTTAAAGTCAGCCCACCTGAAAATAAATGTTAGTAACAAAATTTGGATGTAACTGAGGCACATCTCCAAATGTGGGGTTAACAAATTGAATGGGGGTAGCCTTGAAAAGGACCATTTTTGCATTCTCAATCTTGCAAGGAAGGAACCTCTTCCATGGGCCATCATAATAATAATATATGGAGATTTTTATTTATAATATGTTTTTTTTATAATTCTAATAATCTCTTTTGTTAGATTTCAACTCTCTAAATTGATTGTACACTGTTTTTCACAGACATTAAATTTTGCCTTTGATTTTTGCACAAAGTGTAAAAAAAATCAGTTTTTTCCATTTTTCACTTTCATGGTTGTAATTTTTTCCAGCCAATTTGGACTCAAAACTGGCACTGAAGAATTATCTATGAAACAAAAAAATTTCATCGAAATTGGATGAAAACTCTGGAAACGCATAAACAACATCTGATCATATATAAATATACACACATTTTGAGAATTATAGATGTAGATAATAAATCCTGATAGGACTCCTAGTCTTTTCAAGATCGCCTTGCTAGGTACATTAAATATATCCATTGAGAAGCCACATCTTTGCCTTCCACCTTCATATTTCAGAATTTACTTGGAATTTTAACAATAAATATTCAAACATGTTCTTTAACTCTTTTCTTTCTGCTTTTGTAACTTGTTAACAGCGATAATGGTAGCTAAGGGCCTTTTTAATATCAGTCAATTCATTTTTCTTGTATGACACTGTCACAAAGAAGCCATGAATTTCCCTTTTCATCGTGATATTTTTCTATTTGCCATTGGCTTTCACCTTAATCTTTCTCTCGGCATTCTGAAACCTTTCCATGGAGTCTTTCTGATTGGATCAAAGAGAAACAGCTTGATCTCTTACATAAAGTCGATTGCTAAACGAATCAAACAGATCCTTACATCTTTGCTCTGCTTAAAGTAGCTGCTCAGTAACTTGAGGACGTAACGACCTTCTTGATGAAAGATTAACAAGCTTGTCTTTGTCAAGGTCCTGACTGAAGGGATTAATGAACACTTCTTTAATTGTGGTGACCTTCTCCCCTTTTCATTAATTTTGTGGCTTTCTTGATGGATTCTCTGCTTTTGTGGGACATAACTGATTTTTATTATTTTAACATGGAATGGAATGTTGAAGACCAATTTTTCCTAAGTGCTTTGACAGTGTGAAAAGTTATTTTAATGCCAAGTGACAAAGAAAAGAAACATTCTGTTAACACAGTTGAAAAATAATTCTTTAGCATTTTAATGCCTGCTGTTCCACTAGTGAGACCTGTTTTGAGACATATTTTTGATACTATAGTTTGAATGAAAGGAAGAAGAAAATAATGGAATGTCACTTACCTTGTGGTAGGGGAAAAGAAGAAGCAGCGCCGACAGGTGATTTCTTTTATAGAGACATTACAGCAAATAGAGGAAAAAGACAAAGTATAGGAAAGAAGAAAGAAAGTACCTAACCCGACTGAAAATAGGAGTTGGGGATTTTTATTTCTGTTTTGGCAACCTTGACAAAGTGTGCTAGTCAGAGAGGAAAAAAAGGATGTACAAGGAAAGGCTGTAAGAGATGCAGAGGAAATTTGAGAATAAGGAAGGACGAGGGGTGATCCTCAGAAGCAGAGGAGATTCGAACTACCAAACCCCACTTATTTCACATTGATACACTCACTATAAGCTTTTTATCTTATTCTAAGCTTTCAATCTCATTGATTTTTATTATTTTTTTGATAATATTCACAGAAAACACTAAAATATAATAGTTGTTTACATATGTTAAAATATAACTAATGTCAATCTGATATGAAAAAATATATTTTAAAAGATTAAAACTTAGCATTGTTAAACAAATATATTTCTTCTCAGCGTAAAAATTGTAGTCTCAATACATTTCAAAATTTTAGAATAAGGAAGTCAGTTACACAAAAATGAAACAAAAAAGAAATTGTTTAATAGAAGAAAGCAAAAATTTGTTCCGTTTCTTATTCTTTAAATAATCCAAAAAGGGTTGATAACCCATAAAAAACAAATAAATCTATCAGCAATGAGACCTTAGAGGTTTTTTGCTTGGTTGTCTTCAATTGAGAGTTCCTTTATAAAATTTTGACGTATTATTGACAAGGGATAAAAGCTGTAGAGAGTTGTTTTCCTTGACTGATAGAAAAAGATATAATATAACACTGACAATAACCAACATCTATATAAACTGCCTAAAGAAACTTTCCCTCTCTTTCTTTCACTTCACCTGCTACATTTCCCTTCAGTATGGTAATATAAGTAATACTTTTGTTTCAAATGTAGATATGTGTACTCTCTGGTTAACAGATGGCATAACTTTCCACAATCAAATATTTATTTTATTCCTATGGAATAAGTGTTTTATACAATTTCAGTCTGTCTTGGCTTTTGTTTGTATTCTGTATTGATTTGTTGAAAACATGTTGGGTCATATTGATGCTGCCTTGGGAGATAAAAATATCACCATCATGTTCTCTTTCTACAGATTCCTCCAGAAGAGAATTGGTGTTTTTGATGGACCAAATTAGGGATGAAAATCTTAACTTCTTTTGAATTTAACTTTTCTCTTGAAATGTCATTAGAAACAAAGAAAAGAGTACTTAGTTTTTATGTCATATTAGTCCTCATCACATGGGATTTTTTTCTATTTTGTTATATAGTTGCCCACATCATATTGATTTATGTACTTACAGTTGACTAAAATCTTCATATTTGAAATGTATGGTTTATATATACTGTAAAATTAGTAATAAAAAATTTAGATTTTAAAGTTTGTGGAAAGAATAATTCATCAGAAACTTTGATAAAAATATTGTAAGTTGCATTTTAGTTTTTTGCCATTTTTCCTTTTATTATCAAGTTGTTTGATATATCACTGCTTGTAGCTTGCAGCCATATCACATTTAAACACCAATTCTCATGCAATCACTAAAGTTAAGCAATGTTGAGTCTGGTCAGTACTTAAATGGGTGACCACTTGGAAATACCAGGTGTTGTAGTGAATACAAAATAAAAATAACTCTTTTCTTCAGTTTGCAAATTCACGAGCCTATGCAAAAATTTATTTTGACCAACAGAAAAAGGAAATGTAATGAGCTGATGTCAAATTGCTTTTTGATATACATAGGCAGAAAAAGTTTAATCACATCAGGGAGGCAGAAAGGAATAGAGTTCCAAGAGTCTGAATAATGCTGGAGTCAAATTACATGCTGATACATTATCAGCTTCTAATGAAAGCAGGACAAATTTCAAAGAACTCTGTTCAACTCCAAAGCTAAGTACCTTAAAATATATCTTGTCATTCATGTTGAATATAACCATATAACGTTTATGTAAAAAAACTCTCTCAATTTGTTTTAAACATTTTGAAATATTACTTTTTGTGTCCAATGATCTAATATAAATTTTTTTTCTTCTTGACAATTCATCGAAACTACGAACTTTAAATATTTGATTCCTTTTCCTGAAACAAGCTACTGACATCTTGAAATATGTAAATAAATTCCTTATCTTCTTTCATTAAATATAACACATGTGTTTCTTCGTCATTATCCCTCAATACTTCAAGAGCAAGGTCTGAACACTCGGTTAATATATGTTTAATAGTGTATGCTGTTTCACATATGTGGCATACTGGCTGATCTTCCTTGTCTTCAGTTCTCATATATTCACTAAAGTTATGCAATGTTCAGTCTGGTCAGCACTTAGATGAGTGACCACTTGGATGTGCAGGTGGTGTAACAGATAATAGTTCAGCATTGGAAATCAGTGTGCCATGTTCCAATTCCAGTCAAGTTTGTTATATTCACTTATGTACAAATACTCTTGTGAAAGGTATGAATCCACCTCTTATCCCATCAGCTATGGGTTTGTGGCAAATGGGTTCACATCTGAACATTGCTCGTGTAGATAGGTAGTAGGATAATTATTTCATTGGAAACTTTTGGATTAAAAAGAACTTTTTGAACAGACTCAAAGAGTTAAAAGAAACAATATTCATTTAATTTCTTTAGAGTGATGAGTGAGTCCTTTGGTATTCAGTTGTGACAAAAAGTTTGTTAATAAGGTGGATATTGATAGCAGTTTGAAGAAATGTCCATTTGGGTAATTGGAAGTCAGACCCATGATAGGGGTAGTAGTAATGCCTGAAATTAGGTCAAATGTCAGTAGCTGATGACCTAACTGTTTCTTTACATGTCATGCATGATTGTGTTCTTTTGTGCCATCTTTCCTGGTGTTGTTCTCGTCTCCTCTCTGTTTCTCCTCATCCCATTTTTGCACCATTTGGTCAAGAGATGTCAGGTTTTTATCCTGTTGAATAGGGTTGAGAATTTGGCACAAACTCTCTTTGTATCAATTTTTCTGATTTGCCAAATTACTTTATTTTCTTGTGTTCCTTTCTTTTCCCTTTTTTTTTTTTAAAATAGAAGTTGTGTAGAGCCTCCTTGATTTTTGGTATTTTTCAGCCACAAGTAAGTTTGGTTCAACTCATACAAACTTCCAGTATTTTTGTCCAAATTCAGTCTTTTCTTCTTTCTCTTTTTATTATTTGAGGGTTGCCTTCTCATAGGTCAAGAAAAATATAGAAAGAGAAGTTTAGAGAAAAAGATAAGAGATTTAAAGGAAAGCACAATTGCCTTATTTTAATTTAAATTCTTTTTATTTTTGTTTATATATTTTATTGGGATTCAGTACAGGTTAATTAGTAGAACTTGTATCCATAAAAATCATTATCTCCAAAAGACACTTAGAATCTAAAAATAAAAGCTGTAGAGAGTTGATTTCTCTGACCGAGACTGTAGAAAAAGATAGGGTAGTAACACTGAAAATAAATAACCTACAAAAGGTTGATAAGCAGTAAAAGTCAAATCAATCAGTATCGCTGCTGGCTTGCCTCACCTCAGGGAGGTAAAGGAAGTAATAATTTCAGTAGACAAGTTGATCGAGTTGTCTCAGTTTTGTCTCAGTATTTCTGAGATGATTTAGTCACACTTAAAAAATCATTTTTTTTTTTTATAACTGTTAATACTGCACCTTCTTCGTCTCACATTTTCCACTGACCCGAGGTGGAACAACTACATTGAATCAATAGCTTCATCTACCACAAGAAAAGTTGATTCTCTATTTTGTGCCAGAATTTTTTTCTCACTGGAGTCCATCCTTCAATCTACAAATTGGTCTTGCATTGATTACTGTTGCCATATATGGTTTGGTGCTCCCGCAATTCATCTTGAGGTCCTAAACAAAATCCAGAGATAGATTTGCAGTGTAATAGGTCCTGATCTGGCATCTCGTCTTCAGTCACTTTCTCACAGACGTGATGTAACTTCCCTCTGTCTTTTCTACAAGTATTTTCATGGAAACTGCTCTGATGACCTACTTTCACTGGTACCGCAACTGCATGAATTTAAACATGCTACTAGGTTAGCATCTAGATCCCACCCTTTCACTGTCAAAACAGTTAAATGTAACCACCAACAGCTTCTTCTCTTGCACTTCCTGACAGTGGAACTCCCTTCCTCTTATTTGCTTCCCTGATAGGTATAATCTTCAAATATTCCCCATCTTTCTCTATATCCTTTCCTCAAACACCCTTCCTTACTCTTGCTGTCACTCTTGCTAGTGGCACTTTCACCTTGCTTGGGATGAAATACTTTAAAAAAAAAAAAATTTGGCATTCATTGACAAAACAGCTATTATTATTATCAATTCAGATATATGAAATACATTTCTCAAGTCTGCTAACACCTATCGCTCTTTCCAGTATTGATGGAGTTTCCTTCCTGACCTTCTGTTTGAAGTTGTGTGGAACATCAACATATTTCATTATTTTCTCTTTGACTTACATGCACTATCCATTTCAGTTGTTGCTTTTGTTGAAAGTCCTCAAATGATGTGGCTTCTGCTGTTTTGTGCAATTCTTTTTTGTTACAACAGTCTAGTTGAAGAAGGATGGTCTTTGCTTTTACATGAAGCCATATTTAATCATTGATCTAAGAAAGCAGTTGCTGACAGCAGGAGAGTACTCTGATTGAAAATATCTTCAAAACACGTCTTCTCAATTACACCCATATCAATTTCTAAATTTTGCATTTATCCAAAACTCCTTTCAGCTGTAAATATTGTCAGAACTAAAAAAAATAATCGATACAAATAGTCTCCCTCCAAAAATACATTTTATATATATATATATATATATATATATATATATATATATATATATATATATATAATTTATTTGAAAATTATAACATAAATATGTTATAAAATCACTACAAAAATAGTCATTTTGTTTCAACACTTCTGGTGTCTTATCAAGTGATGGTGTTTTTAAAAAGATTCAAATCGACCAAACACTCCTAGCTAGGGAAAACACTGTTACATAAGCTGCAATGACCAATCAAAATAGAAGTATATGAGAATTAAAAAAAACTTGACAACGAGCCTTGGTTATAATAATTAATGCCTTAATGTTAGAATTAGACTAAAATAGAAATCATTCTAAATAATTAATAATAAATTTTACTATAAAATTGAAAATTAAAGTTTACCAATTTTAAATTTAATCTGTATTAAGTTTAAAATATTATGAAATTATTTAAAGAAGAAACTGCGGAATATATATATATATGTTTTGTTATATATTATATAATTATATAAACTGTTTTAAACATATTTACCATCTGGATTCATTATTGGTGACCACAATCTTAATCATTTTGACTATATAATCATAATATATACTTTAATATACATAATATATATATACATATATATGTAAATGTAAAAGACAATGGGAAAACTATTATTAGCCGACACGTTTCGGTCAATGTGGACTTTTCAAAGCAAAAATAAAATTGGAAGAAAAGTGTCAGCTAATAATACAGTTTACCATTGGATATGCAGACACCATATTTATAGCAGATACAAAAAGAAAATACAGGACCTCCAACAGAAGGAAAGTGAGAAGAAAGGACTAACCACCAATTGCAAGAAAACAGAATATACTGTTGTCAGTAAGAAAATTAAAGATACCAAAACGAAGCAAATACAAAAAATTTAAATATCTAGGAAGTGTTTTCACAGAGGACAGAAAATGTGAAGCCAAAATCTGAAGGTACATTCAAATACTGAAAGATACCTTCCAAAAACTAAGCAATGTATTAAGAAATGGAAAAATTTAGTTAGAAACAAAGAAAAGAGTACTTAACTCTTATGTAACATCAGTCCTCCTCTGTGACAGTGAATGCGGGACAATGTCCTGACAGATGAAGAGCAAACTTGAGGTAACTGAAATGTGGTTCTACAGAAGGATGCTGAGGATACCATGGACTGAACATCTAAGTAAATAGTATGTTTTAAGGAATATGGAAACAAAAAGGATGATTATACTTAGAATCAGACACAGTGTTGATAGACATAGAATGGAATCTACAGGACCTCCTACAGAAGGTACTAAAGGAAAGTGAGACGAAAGGACTAATTACCAATTGCATAGAGTAGAATGTGTGATTGACAGCAAAAAGAAGTGAACAACCTGTGAATTATAAATTGGAGATGCCAAAATCAAACCAGTATAAAAATTGAAATAAATAAAAATTTTAGAAAATGCTTAACAGAGAATGGAAAATGTGACACTGAAATTTTGACGGTACATTGGGATAGTGAAAGATGCCTTTCAAAAAGCTAAGCAATGTATTAAGAAACAGGAAATTTATTAGAAAAAAAAAACAAAATGAGTACCTACCTGTTATGTCATATAAAGCAGTGAATGATAGACAAACTCATCACAGATGAAAAAATACTTGAGGAAACAGAAATTTGGTTCTACAGAAGGATACTGAGAATATGGGCTGATCATGTGAGCAATGACAAAGTTTTAGAGAAAATGGAAATATAAAGGACACTGAGATTTAACATCAGAAAGAAAAAGTTGAAATTTCTAGGACACAATGAGGAAAGATGGTTTGAAAAATTTGATACTTAAAGGATATATTAA